ATAATTGCCCTCTCTCTTTGCCTTGATTTAAGTTTTTTTGTTAGTTACGCATTAGTTTAGTAGGCCAGCATGGTTTGACAAAAGTTTAGAATGTAACAGTCTATGGAAGCTGCTATTTTTGTATGATTTATCTGAAGCCGTCTTGTGATAATTTATTGTTGTATTTGAAAAGCTTTGTATTTTTCTTATTATTTAGTATAACTTATCAGTTTCATATTATATATTTTAAAATATTAGGATATTATATATAATGGGAAGCAAAAAAAAAAAGAGTTCAAAAAGAAAAAGAGCATTTTGTGGCAACCAGTGGAAGAAAACCCCTACCCTAAAAGAAGACAAAAATGTTGAGCATGTTTCAGTTAGTGCCAGCAAAGTCTCTTTAACAAAAGCTGATAATTATATTAATTCAGAAAATTATAACATTATAATAAACTTCTCTATTTTAAAAAAAGTTATTGATAATATTGGCAGTTGCCCAGAATGTAACAGTTGTATTGTTTTTACAGATGACAACGATAAACGAAGTGGATTTTCTCACAAGTTGAATTTTAAATGTACTAAATGTAAATTTCAGTATTGTACATATACATCTGATGATGTTAAAAAATCTGTACCTAAACAAGGCAGAAATTATTTTGATATTAACCTTAGAATCGTTATTGCTTTTCGTGAAATTGGGAAAGGCCACCAAGCCTTAGTGGACTTTGCCCGAATCGCAAACACTTCATGTATGAATAACAACGCATTTAACAAACTTAATAGCACTATTCAAAATGCATATAAATTATCAGCAGAACAATCCACAAAGGCAGCTGCAATAAAAGTTAAAAATAAAGTTAAAGAGGAGCACATTGGTTCAGGAAAAAAACTAATTAGAGTTTCTTCAGATGGTTCATGGCAAAAACGCGGTCATGTTTCACTAAATGGTGTGGTGACCACTATTTCAGAAGGGCGATGTATTGACTTTGAAGTCTTTTGCAAGTATTGTAGGGGATGTAGAATGTGGAAAAGAAAGCAAAATCACCCAGGTTATACTGAATGGAAAGCTAATCATATTTGCTCCTTAAATCACACTGCATCGTCAGGGGCTATGGAAAGTGCTGGTGTGGTAAAGATATTTAATCGTTCTGTAGAAAAAAATGATTTGATTTATAAATATTATTTGGGAGATGGAGATTCCTCTGCATTTAATGATGTTCTTAGCAGTAATCCATATGGAAAGTATCAAATCGAACCGGAAAAGTTAGAGTGTGTTGGTCATATCCAGAAGCGCATTGGTACAAGATTACATAATCGAAGAAAAGATCGACATCATGGTAATCGGTTAACTGGAAAAGGAAAATTGACAGAATGCGCAGTTAATAGAATACAAAACTATTTTGGTATGGCTATTAGACAGGCTGCAGCTAATAATTCCTTAAGTGAAAATGAAAAGGTATACCAAATGAAAAAAAACATTCGCGCAGTTCTTTACCATTGCACTAATTTTCCTGATCAATTTCGTCGCCACGTGTTATGTCCAGTGGGTCCTAATAGCTGGTGTAAATGGAAGAAAGGAAACTCTTCAGGTAACAGCATTTACATACCAAAAGTTAATTTACCAGTATGGATATATGATATAATTAAGAAAGAGTTTGAAGAATTAAGTGATGACAACCTTTTGAAAAAATGCACTCATGGTCAAACACAAAATTCTAATGAGGGTCTTAATAGTATTATATGGTCTAGATGCCCAAAAAATATTTTTATTCACAAAGCTTCATTTGAGTTGGGAGTGAACTCAGCTGTATTGTATTTTAATGAGGGAACTGCTGGTGTTCAGAGAGTGATGAGTCACCTCAATCTTGAGAATGGTGTAAAATTTGCAGTGTCCTCATTTTGTAGAGACCAAAAACGCGTTGCCAGCATGAATAAAAAAGACACTTTTGAAAAAAAAAGGAGAAGGATACATTTAAAATCAATTAACAAGGGTTGGCAAGATGAAGAAGAACAACTGGAAACCTTTAAACCCTACTCATCTGGAAGTTTTTGATATTTATATTAGTTATAAAATGTTTATTGTTGTTTTTCTTCATTCACTTTTTTGTGCAATTTTTAATTTTTGAAATATCATAACTTTTAAATGACTAAAGCTTTTTGCTTCAAATTTTCATGACATGTTCTACGTGTAATGATGGAGGGCCTGAACCAAAAATATTGTTGGATTTGATAAATTATTTACATTTTTCTATTTCATTTCATTAGCCAACCCCCCAAATTTTGATGTTTTTGCCAAAAAAAATCAAAAATTTCAACTTTTACTAAGAATATAGCAGTGATTTTGGTTCAGGCCCTTCGTTTTATGTGCATCAAACTGTTTGCAAAATATAAAGATCTGATTTCAAATGGTTTCCAAGTTATCGTTTTTCAAAATTTTGTTCAAATTTGACTGATTTTGCAATCTTTTTGCCATATTTTCGCGATTTTAGGAATAAATTGTTGTAAAATGACACTTAGGTTGTTTTTTATTTTCATATATTATGCTTTTATACACTTTTTAATTTGAAATAATGAAATTTGGGGATTTTTTTTTTTTTAGTGGTGAACCACCTTAAGTATGTCTTTGAAACAAGATGGTTTTGACTTAGAGAAAACTCTTCTCTATATTTCTAACTCTAACACTAAAAAATGTCAAGGTCGCCATACATTTCACTCAATAACTTTTTATTTTCTAAAACAGTTTTCTTTAATTGCTTAAAGTAAAAATGATTCCATCGTTAGATAAACTTTAAAACTAGGTTGATAAAATCTATCCTTGATTACTGTAACAATGGAATCTCAAAGAACAAAGAAATCTCAGAAAATATTGCAGAGGCTTTGAATTGGCAACACAAATCTGACCAAGCAATTCTTTATCTCCGAGAAATCGTATCACTTTTAATATTTGGTAATTCATAATACCCTAGAAAATCTTGATTTGCACAGAGAGTTTTACCTATTCAGCGTATGCAAAATGATAACTGTTCTTTACTTGCTGTGTCAGTATATTCATTGTATTATATACTAAAGAATTTATTTATCTTTTATAAAATTTAATTTATTCCTTAAGACCTTATTTGCCTTTAGTGTAAGAAGTTCATTTTGGTAGCCTTGATGGATGAACTTTCTTTTGTTTCAAATTGAGTTAGAATAGATTCTTTCAAAAATCAACGGGTTATCTTTATATTACAATATTAACAGTTGCATTAGGTTATCATTAATATGATCGGATCCTCGTAAAGGAAGCCCTTGGCGAACAAGAAATCTGATGCACTCCATTACTGCTTTGAGATATTTTTGTTCTACGGATTTTAACTTAATGAGTTGTTTATTCAGCATTGCCGAAGGATCGCTACAAGAAGAAACAATAATTTTAAATGTAGATGCAACCCTGTGGCATTTGTTAATTTGGTGATCAATTTAGCGCTTTTTTCCAATTTCTGAAGCCAACTGATGTTTACGTTGACTCTATTATTCTCTGCTGTAAACTTTAGTTCGCTTTTCATACAGTAAAAACAAAACACACAATCCTTTTGTATCAAATATATTATAATTTATTAATTTGCGCTCTGGTTTCAAAGTAAACTAGTTTCAAATAAATTACAACTTATTAACTTAGCTCAAAAACAATAAAATCAAGTGTGCTTTTTATTTTGGTTTCAAAAACCAAAATAAAAAGCACACTTGATTTTATTGGTTATACCAAAGATTACATATTAAAACAGTTCATAAAATTTGGAAATATGAAAGATAAATATAGAAAAATAAAAAGAGTTTTTTTTTCATTTTTCTAGAGCAGAATTTTGAATGATTTCTTTGTTCACAACAATAAACTTAAAAAGTAAAAAAAAAGTTTTAGAAAGTCATGCGATTTTTGGTCGATTAGTGGGACAATAAAAATGCACTTTAGAATTATTTTTTCTTAAATTATTTATGTACTTTTAAAACCATAAACTCATAAAATCAAAATCAAAATTAACTTTTTTAATTTCAATAACAACACGAAAACAAATTTACTTTATTCTTTCATGCCTTAAAGTAGTTTTTTATTTTTTTTACTTTTAGTAATGAATGAATAGCTTCAAAGGCGCTTTCAAATTATATAGCATAAACTATTACTTCGTAACATAAAAAAAAGTTAAATTTTTTTTTAGATTAGTGCGACACCAGTATTTAAGTTTTATTCTTATTCTACCTGTAATGGGTACAATTAAGACCAGCATCAAATATTTAGTGCACTTTTTTTATCAGTGATGTTATTGTTTTCAAAAACATCACTAATAGAAAAACCGCTTAAATTTTATTTATTAAAAATGTCGAAGGTTGCTAAAAGAAATCTAACAAGTAGATCTTTAACAATATAATGCGAGTCACTGACACAGACATAATTTCGGACTTTTTTCGTTTATAGTATATATTATATATAAAAAATATAAACTTCGCAAAAGATTATATAGTTCTACTTAAATGTACACATATAAGTAGAACTCTAACAATATTTATAATATAAATATATTATATTAAAGAACATTCGATAAGTCTAGAAATCTCGGTACATTGGACATTTTCAAAAAGTCCGACATAACCAGAGCTTCGTTTAATTCGGATATTCGCGAGTCCAATACTCCTTCAGAGTCCGAGTTAACAGGATTTTACTGTACTACTCCCATTATCAAATATAGATTAAAAACTTATATTTTTTCTATGGATGAGGTATTTTAGTTTCTATGGATGAGGTATTTTTTAGTTGTTCCTCATCCATATTTACCTACGCTGCTTCTATTACTTTCCTCTTTTTATTTTTATTAGTAGAAAACGTGTTATACAACATTTTATTATCTTTGTTTATTTTTTATATGTTTTTTTTTTTTTTTTTTTGCAAATAGATTTAGTATATAAATAAGTACTTTAATTACCACGACAAATTCTAACTTAAAATCAATACAAAATGTGAATGATTACAAAATAAATTTATAACTTACCAAAACATTTTTGAGTTTTATATCGCGATGAATTAACCCTTGAGAATGTAAATATCGCAATCCTTCGACAACATCAATTGCAACTTGTATCCGACTTCGAAAACTCATTCCAGATTTAATTCCAGCATAGAGATCTCTCTGTAATCGATCCATGACTATTAAAACAGCTGGAGTCATACCACCAGCATAGCTGTAGTCTATAACTGAACCCCGAACACTAACGATTCTCTTATGTTCTGGAATTGCTCTAAATATTTTGTTCTATATTTAATTATATAGATTTTAGTTTTTCTAATTTTAATGTTATGAAATTAATTTTAAAATAATATAATTGAACAATAATATTTGTAAATAACAAAACAATATAACTACATTAGTATAGTATGGATTAAAAAAAACCTTGTATAGTAAAATTCGAGTGCCAAGTCATTCCAATGTTTATCGTCCGGAAGTACAACAGATTTAACTGCGCATGGTCCTCTACCACCCCACTTGTCGCAAGCATACACAACGCCGTATTGACCACGGCCAATTTCACGGCCAAGTTGTGGCATTCCATGTAAAATTAAATCACGTAAAGAAGTACTACTTAGAACGCAACGCGCAACGCACGGCGTGAAAACTTTTTTCAATTTTAGTTGACGTCTTTCTTCGGTTGCAAGACGATCGTTATGCCTCATTTCTAATATTCGAAAAGAGTGGGTAAAAGCATCATGCGCACGAGTTAGGCGCAGCCGGAATTGTGAACAAATATTTTTAGCAAGCCGAGATTCACTTATACTGTTGATAATTTCGACTACAACTTTTTTTTTCCAAGCTGAATTTATAATTGGCGATGATTTTCCAGGCAGCATCTGTATAGCTTCCTTAATTTTTTTCCAAAGGTAACTTGTAAAAGTAAAACTAGTCTGCGGTGTAATTTCTAGTTGATAAGCTGCAGTTAATACCTAAAATATTGAGGAACAAATTTATGTATTTTAGCAAGCTAAAGTTTTTTATCAAAGTTTATTTTTATGATTATTTGAATAGAAAAATATTTTATTTTTTTAATACCTTTTTGAAAATGAAATGAAAAAAAGTAACATTTCAAAAATATTGTTTTTAACAATAGCGTTAACATGCTTTATTTTAACTTTTCATGAGAGCATTTTACTTTACCTCGTCCTGCAAACCTTAGCAACACAAGCATGGAAGTACCGATAGGGTCAAAACAATGTTTCTCCTATTTTGTACTTTGCTTTTGGTTGTTACAGGAATACAAGTTATTAAAAACATTTAGCGACATCCCAGAAAGTAAATTAGCCTCCAATGAAATTGTTATAAGTTTCAACTTAAATTTTTTTTTTTTAAGTTGTAAAGAATTTGGAACTGTATTTAAATATATATATAAATCAAATAAAAAGCTTTTTTTAGTTTTTCAAAAAACTTTAACAAACTGAAAAAAAAAAATTCTATTCTTACCTTACTATCAGGAGAATTAAATAAGTCAATCGGTAATTATTAAAAAAAGCTATCAAAGATAATAAAAACAACCAATAACAAAACTAAAACACTCTCCCCCAACGTGTCCTTCTCGTGAAGCCATACTTGTGAATTGCCGCTTTTTTGTTATATGAAACTCGGGGCCTTTTCCAATCGCTTACATTGCATACTTTTTTTTGCATGTTAATATTTTTTTCACTGATACCATTCACTGTTTTGACTTATTGAAGTTTGCCCATAATTTATCGGCCATTTTTACACCTAAATTTGTTTGCTGCAGTTGTTGCTATTGTTAGAGTTGCTGTAGTTGCTTGATTTGTTTTCTTTTCATCATCAAATTTAAATTGACATTGTTGTGTAGCTTTTTTGCTAACAGAATTTCTCAGTCTCTTAAGTATTTCAAGTTTATTAGGACTATATTTTCTCGTATGTTTTTTTGTCAACATGTTGAATGTAAAAAATTCGGTGCAAACAAGCAGTTTGGCTGATTGTGATTGCATTTTAATATATTTTTGATTTTCCATTTGAATACCTGAAGTTATTTCATTATTAAAGGTTTGTTGCAGACGAGTTGACTTTAGATTTGACTTTAGATGCAACATATGCTAATGTTAGATATTGTTTGTGTAGATTTAGAAGACAGTAACTAAGATGATGTTGTACACTGCTGGTGGTAGTGAAGACTCAGATTAACATGGTGGCAGTTCAAACGTATGAGCAGTTTTTAACTTTGAATAGTCAATTTTATTGAAGTCGAGTAAAAAAAACGGTATTTTGAAATCCAGTGACTAATTGCTGGTAAGCAAATTAACAAGATATTGTTTTCGATAAAAAAAATACTCGATAGTTAGCCTACGTCAAGCGTCCATTTGCGACTACAATATGAATTGCTAACGGATTGAGCATCTTTGTTTAGTTAAGTTCGTTCAAAGTAAATTTCACTTCCAAAGGTTTTATGCCATTTTTCAAATAAAGATTATTTACAAAAAATTATTATGCAGCTGAAAATTTCATAATTATAATATTAAAAAAATATATATTTTCTATTAAAGTTTTATCATATTTAGAATTGTATAAAATATTTAGACATGTTTACAAAAAAATATCATAATCGAAGATGATCGAAAATTTTTTTCATTATGTTTTTTTAATAACTAACAAAAAGATAAACTTTTTCATTTTAACTTCAATTTAATTGTGTTTTACTTATTAATTATTTTAGAATTTTTTAAAAACCGGAAATTATTTGTTTATTCAGTTTAATATAAATACTTTTTCATCAGTTTTATTCTTATTTTATAAAAGATGTACAGAAGCCAATCAGAATCAAGTCAATCAAATGTACTTATCAGATTAATCAAATGAGAATCAGCAAAGATTAGTTTCCCATCGGAATTTTGATGAATTAAACGCCTTTAAAAAATGTATAAGAGCTTAGTGCTCAGTAATTATTTGCGTTGACGTTGTTGGTTTAACAAATTGTTCACCAACTGCCCGTAAGATGTCTGTATGAATTTACTCACTGAAAGTTTCTAAAAGAAATATATATGTTTTGAAAATCTTAAATTCTTTGATAGAGATTCTAAATTTTTTTTTGACAGATCCTAAAAAACTCTCGGAATTTCAATAAAATTCTAAGTTTGTTCAGTCATCAAGATCTGAATTTGTTGACAATCAGACTGAAAGGTGATGCATTACTTTGCAAAACTTTATTCAACTCTACTAAAAAGACTTTCAACAGATTTGGGTTTTTGGTTTAGCAAGGATCAAAGTCATGAATATTTCATCAGGCTGTGGGAAACAGGCGCTTACAAATAATATTTTGGTCATTTAGAGTATTGCAAAAAACTCAAGAATTGTGTAATTGCGAATTGCTAAAAGCATCTCTAAAAGTTAAGAATGAACAGCCAAGTCAATGTTCGTAGCTTTATTTTTAAAAAAGTAGGTTTTTGTAATTCAATGTTAATATAGATTAAATACAGAAAAGGATGATTTGAGGTGTTTGTTTTCGAAATTTCTCTTGGTTAGTAACTCTTCTGACTCCAGGTTCAAATTAAATTATATTTACACATTAAATTTAAAAAACGATTTGATTAGATTCGAAAAATAATTACATCGAGGTGAGTAAGATGAATTTAGTTTGCTTTAAAAACTTTATCTTTTTTTCAAAAATTTTAATAAACATTTTTTAAATTATAAAACTGCGAATAATTTTACTTTTTGTTAGACATACTAAAAATAACAATAAATTCCTCGGGCACTAAAATGTCGCTAAATGTTTTTAAAATTTTGTTAAACTCATGTTAGAATAAAAAGCCAAAAAAGCACTTTCAGGAGCATTTTTTTTTACCTCATCTAAAGGCAAAAAAAGTTATGCTTGAGTTTCATTTGAACGTTTTTAAACAGAAATTTTGTTCTTGAAAAAAAAAATGTCTTTATTCTTGATATTATGTTATTGTTATTATGTATTAATGTTATCATCTGTTTTGTTTTTGAAAAAACTTATATGGGCAATTCCACCGTTACTTACGGGACATTTTGTTTTTGTAACGTCGCATTTGTAGATATATACTTTTTATTTTAACAGATTAAATGTTTATATATTTATGAATCATTCCAGAATCATATATTTGTTTTCCTGCATATTGAAATTTCTATATTTCAATATACAATATTAATATATATATTTCAATTATTATAGGTTTAGAAATTATAGTTGATTATATGCTGTGTTACTTACGGGACGCAAAATAACACTGCATTAAACCTGTTCAACTCAGTTGAATATTTCAAGCCAAATATATTTAACCAACATAAACTGGTTTATTAAATTAACTTAAGTAGTTATTATTCTGCGTAAAATTATTCAAAATATTTTTTTAACTATTTATTTACATATTTTAAATCGATTTAATTATCGTTACTTACCCAGACACAGTGACGGATTAAGACATTATGGGGCCCGGAGCTATTTTTGTTTTTGGAGGTCTTTTTATGAGCCAGAGCCTAAAAATGACTAAAAAAAAAAAAAGATCCCCTAAAATTTTTAAGGGCCCCTAAATTTGCGGGGCCCGGGGCGATAGCCCTCCCTAGCCCCCTTGATCCGGCACTGCCCAGACAGTTCTATCAAATCTACGCTTTTATCAAAATATAGTTTGTCTACCATTTATATAGAAAGCATGACGCATGACTTTAGTTTGAAATTTAAAACAAAAAATAACATTATTATTCAAAATTTAAAATTTTTAAACACCCATTGATTACTTGTTTTCTGTTTGAATTTAATTATTTATTTTATTGAAATATCTCACTTGAGCCAATATATATATATATATATATATATATATATATATATATATATATATATATATATATATATATATATATATATATATATATATATATATATATATATATATATATATATATATATATATATATATATATATATATATATATACTTATATGTCTTTAGAACCTTTTTAAACGTGTTTTAAACATTCTAAACTTTAGAACGTTTAGAATCATCTTCATAATGTCTTCTGAACGTTTTCAATTTTAAAACATTTGGAAGACATTTTAAAAATGTTTAAAAATCGTTCAGAACTTAATTTTAGAAGAAAAAAAAAACTCCGTATCCATTTGTTTTTTTATTTTAACATTTTTTTAAATTCTAATAATTAAAACAAGAACATTTTTTTTTTATTTTTATTTTTTTCAATTTACAAAAATAACTTAAGAGATTATGGTTTTTTTAAGTAGTAAACATTTTGAACTATTTTTCGTAATTATTTCTTCAGAAAGAATTCATTGAAACTGTTTTTTTAATAAATTAGTGTTTAATAACAAATTTGTTTGTAAATAAAAGTATTATCAAAAATCATAAATAGAAAATTAAAATTATAAGGAAATATTTTATGTTTTATGATCGTTTTATAAACCTGAAAACCTTTTGTAATATTTTATTATTTAAATTTTTTTTTCTACTTAATTATTTTTTTAATAATCCTTATCTTATACTTTTACACTTTTTATATATCTTATACTTATATACTTTTATATATCCTTATACTTGTATACTTTTCTCTACAAAGTATTACATTGATTACATGAGTTCAAAAAAAATTAAGTTCATAAGCTACCTGCTTTAAAGCCATTGATGAAGAAATTCCTGTTTCCATCATAAAATCTTCGTTGTCCGCTTTTTCCAAGCTTCTTAAACATCGTTTTAAAGTGCCAACATAGCAATCTTTTAAAAATTCTATTGAGCTGACTAACATTCCTCCTATTTTGTAATTCAATCTGCTTAAAACAAGTTTTTCAATTTGTTCAATACATTTATCCAAGTCTTTAATATTACTTAACTCAAAATTTTCATTTAATTTAATTCCTTCCAAATTTAATTGTTCTGCTTCTTCCTGGAGTTTGACACTCATTAAACTTACTGCATTTCGAATTACGTCACGTATTTCATCTTGTTTATTGTTAGTTACTTCCAACAAGGAATAAAAAAGATTCTCTTCTTTGGAACGCACATAAGCTAATCGTTTAGGTGTTATAGTAATATCTCTAGTAACATCAAACGCGGTGTTTATGAAGAGTCCTAGACATCTTGTATGCGCGTCATTAGAAACTGAAGCAGCAGCTATGAGATGATACTGTAAAACTTGACGAACAAATACCAAAAAACACGCAAACAATGAAAAATCTTCAATTAGAGTATTTTTTGGGGTTACATTTTTGAGAATACATTTAGAGTTGCAAAAATCTGTCGTATATAAAAATGGATTTGTTGTTCCTAATGGATCTTTCTCTAAAAGACCACTTTTATAAAGTTGCAATCGAAGTGGCGATTCAGCTCCCGTGTTATACATTGCTTCTTTTGCAACATCTTGTAAAGATTCTGTAAGCTCGGAAGTTGCTCTAGATGGAACTTTGATAAAGAAAATGGGCATACAATGCATGTCAAATGACTTTATTTGATGGAGTTCATCTAAAACCTGTAAATTATTCATTGAAGACTTTTAATTCAGCATGTAAAAAATCAAAATGTGATGTAAGTTTTACAAAAACAGAAATCTTTATATAAGTGATTACAGCAAATAAAATCAGGTAAAGCTACAGATATGTGGTCTAAAATGATTTTATTTTACCGACGGTTGCGCTTTCGTGTGGAGACTTGCTCAAAGTAGTGAGTTTTTAATATAAACATAAAGAACATTTATTGGCTCTAGTACATACATCGTCTTATAGCCTGCTGTTAAAATGGAGTGCTGCTACGTCTGGTTACAATGGAGTGCTGCTACATCCATTATCTTATAGCCTGCTTCTACATGGAAGTGCTGCTATATTGACTGAGGATATTGGCATAAGACAGCGATCTTTTTTCTTTTATTATTTCAATAAAGACTTCTAAAGTTTAAAAATTCTCCACTAATGAGAGCGCAACAAACGAAAAAATAAAATTGTTTTAGAGCGCTAAACTGTAGCTTTATCTAAAATGACATTGTATTTGCATTGTACCCATAGTTCTTCATTGCTCTGTAAGACAATGATTTTTTAATTAAATTTACACAGTCTGTATCACATGTATAAAATTTATAAAGTAAAAAGTAAATTGCGGCATTCCGGCATTCCGGAATGCCGCAATTAACTTTTTTTTTATATTAAACAACTTATTTAAACCGATTGTGTTATTAAATTAAATTTGACTTTTTGGTCCGTTTTACCCTACTTAAAATATTTGTAAAGCGATGTTTGTAATTATTATTAATACGAGCCACTAAGCTGATTTGTTACTAAACCGTAACTTTCCGATTATTCAAGAAATGTAAAATACCTTATCTTCTAAAGTATCGGCATCAATAGCAAAGACAATAATTGGTATGACATCTTCTTCAAATTCTTTTAGTATTCTTTCAACACAATTTTCGCCGTTTGAAGGCGAGCAAATAATTTCTGCTCCACTTTTCAACAATGGGTGATCCAAACATACCTCTGCAATAGCAGCAGTATGCGCTGGATCATTGCAATCACAACCACGAAGCTCGATATCAGCTCGGGGGACTGAGCGCCATGTTCCCTCGTAGGCATCAAGTGCAGCCGCTAATTCAAAATTTTCTAATAAAACTAAACTAAGCGTAGAATAAAAGCCATGTTTTAAACGTATCATACGCCACATAACATTTGAGTCATTTTCGACAATCGGTAAAATGGGTTCTCCCAGAAGTTCATTTATAACGCACACTTTAGCGTAACATGATGTACCCAACACTATTATTGTAGGAGGCTTATCACATGTTTGAGCAAGTTCGTGGTATTCAATATCCGGAAATAGAGGTGAAGTTGTATAAGAAGCATTAGATGAAAACTGAACAAAGTTTTTAATTTCACGAAAGGTTTTATCAGTCTCTTTTTTTACTTGTTTTAACAACTTTGTATGTTCTTTAAACTTATTTAATTCGTAGGGTATGTTTGACACCATATTGATTTGCAACTTCAACGACAAGAGCACTATCAGCAAAGAGATTTCAGGCCTGAAAATGATAAAATATGTAGAATATGTAAATAAACAGATGTGGATAATAAGTTTACATACATACATACATACATACATACATACATACATACATACATACATACATACATACATACATACATACATACATACATACATACATACATACATACATACATACATACATACATACATACATACATACATACATACATTCATAAATACATAAATACAGGAACGGCGGAATCGGGGAGGGAACATGCCCCCTCACTTTTTATAAACCTAAAGTTTGGCTTCTCTTCTTTAATAACAGGTTATTATTTTTCCCCATAATATAATATAAAAGCGCGCGTATAATAATATTAATAACAGTAACGGTAATAATAGTATTTGAACTCAAATGTAGACTTATTTAGATCGAGGCATTAATTACAAAAATTCCAAATTTTTGAAAGATGGCAAAAAGCAAAAAACAACATAGTAATCAGAAATCTGTTTTCAAATTTTTTCAAAATAATTTTAATAACCTTATATTGAGTCTTTTTTACAAAATCTTAGCGAATGTTATTATTTTTGTATATTGTTTCTTTCTTATTCACTAACATAAACGGCCGTTCTATTTAGTTAGTAAAATAATATTTATATTTTATTTTAAAAGTTTTTTTTTTTGAAGAAGAATTTGAACTACTATTTTAATTATAACTGTCGACAATACTGCTAGAGTGTCAGTAATGAACTTGTTCTTCCCTACGGCTATTTGTTTTTAAAAGTTATGCTCTAAATGTCTTTTAAACGTGTTTTAAACGTCTTTTAAACGTTCTTTACGTAAGAATGTTTAGAAGACGTTTAAAATACATTTAAAATACATTTAGAACGTAAATTTTAAAAGCAAATGCCCGCTGGGTTGTGTCTGACTTAGAGTCTAATGACGTTATTGGGAATCATATTGGCTGCGAAGCAATTACTGAACGGTGCAAGAATTTAAGTAGTTCTGAAGATGAAACAGGTCTGGGATTTCATTTCTAGATCAATAGTTAAAATATAAATTATATTCTTTTATGAAGCAATGATTCCATTGCAAATAAGGAAAATATTAACTGTAGTTTATTTTATAGTAATTAGTTAAGAAAAATGTAAGAAGAATGACAAGCAACCAATTATGATTTAATGTAATTACAAATACAATTGCTTTAGGTATGATTAAAAAAAAAACAGTATTCAAAGAATGTAGAGAGGCAAGAAAGGTACTGCATATATATACGGAAGTTGCGTAAGGTATTTCAATCAAGATTGGTGTACCCATATCTTTGTCAAAGTAAGAAGAAAAATATTCGCCTTTATGCAGTACATTAAAGTGTGGTAAACATGTATTCATTAATGATGGATTTAATGGTTAGAAAAATTGCCCGGTAGATCTTGAGTAACACAAGAAATCAATTTTTCATAAAATATGTTTTGAAAAATCTCTTTATTAGTTAAAAACCAGTTAGTTTTTTTTCATAAAAAAAACCAACAGCAAGAGAAAAACAGAATTTGTTTAATTACAGAAATAGACAATCTAAGATATCTAGAAGGACAGGACTTAGCTATCCAAGGTTATTATGAATTAAAAAGTAATTTACGAAAGCTACTTGAACTTTTATGAAATAACTGAAAAGATTTTATTGAAAGTATCTTTTGCATGACATAATCAATGAACTCAACAAAGAAATGTATTTTAAATGTCACAATGATCAACTTGATCTCATTCGAAAAGATCTCATATGTGCTATTTCAGTTGATAAAAACAGAGACTTTCTAGACAAGAACATATAACTTCAACAGTTAGATAGGTGTCAGATTAATATGAAGTACATGAAGATTTTATAGGTATATATAAATGTGAAAAGACTGATGCTGAGACCATAACTAAAATTATAACAGATATTTTAATTAGATGTAATTTTTTATTAAGTAGTTTTAGGGGACAAACTTAAGATGGTGCTTCTGCACTGCAAGGTAACATCCCTGGTATTTCTACTAAAATATTGCAAAAAACCCAAAAACCCTATCTATTCACTGCTTAAACCATAGTCTTATTCTAATACTTCAGGAAGTAGGAAGCAACTGTCTTTCTATGGTTAGAAATGCACTAAACTTCGTACCCGACATATATAATTTCATTGAAAACCCATATGTCATACTCGTTGGGCCGCGCGCGTACTAAATCAATAGAAGCTGTTATGCTCGAGAATTACAATTTAATTTTTGATACACTAGAAGAAATATTACTTGAAGAATGATCAAATGAGGCTGTCAAAAATGTTTCTGGTATACTTGCTAAAATAAAGCTGTTTGACACCTTTTTTGGGTTAAAAGTAGTACAACTAGTGTTTTCTTTGGTAGAAATAGACAATCTACAGTTCTTCAAGCAATAGATATTGATGCCCAATGTACCTGCAATAAATATATCGCATATATATGCATAATATTATATTCGCATATTCGCATATTCGCATATTCGCAATATTCGCATATATATGCATAAATATATCAAGTAGATATTTAGTAATTCTTAGTTGTAAAGAAAAGTTTCAAATCTTGGATTACATACATACATACATACATACATACATACATACATACATACATACATACATACATACATACATACATACATACATACATACATACATACATACATACATACATACATACATACATACATACATACATACATACATACATACATACATACATACATACATACATACATACATTTAAAATGTTATAATGCACCATTCATACTGACAATCAAACACGCTTTATTTTCACGTTTTGTATTTTTAATTTAAAACTGTAAAAAATAATAATAAAACAATATGCAAGGTTGTTTATAGTAACACAAACATTTTGTATTAAGAAAATAACCTTGCGATATTGATTTATTGTTTTGTAGAGCTCTACAACAAAACGTGCTATTTGTCAATATAAACGTGATATAATTATAGTAAAAATAAAAAATAATACACATATATTGAATATATTCATTATACGTGTGTTGATTTTTATTACTATTAGTTTTAAAAAAATTTGAATTTTATTAGGATAATTAAAAAAATTTAATTTTGTGTTTTTTCCTCATAAATTGTTTTGAGAGTTAAAAATTACTTGTTTATTCGTCATTAAAGTTACTTAAGTTTATTCGTCTCTAACACGGGTCTTCGCTTCTATTCTAAGGGTGAAATGCAAGAAGCGAACTTGAGCTCGACTTGAACTTTACATTGCAACCAATAGTGACAGAGTATGGGCTTTCCCCTCAAAAAAACTCTGCCGCTATTGGTTACAAAGTAAAGTTCAAGTCGAACTTGACTCAAGTTTGGTTCTTGCATTCCACCATTACATTTTAATAAATATGTGAAATTATTATTACGGCGTTTTGCTTATATTCGTACACTTTAAAAAATATCTAATAGTTTAACCAAACACCGCCTTGTGCCTTTTCTTGAACACTTTTAAATGTATCCAACTATGTGTGCAACTTTTAATTTTAAATAACTATGTGTGCAACTTTTAATTTTAAATAACTGTATAAGACTATATATGACTCTATAATAGTGTAATATTAATTAAGAAAAATTCAACACTTAAGAACTAAACTTTTTTGTCTTAATATCTAAAGTTTTGGTGCGAGAGCTCTTTACCCAATACACTTAACAAATTAAATTGTAGCTTAAGCGTGTTATTAAATTGTAAATATGTTATATATATATATATATATATATATATATATATATATATATATATATATATATATATATATATATATATTTTTTTTTTTTTAAAGTATTATAAAACAAAAAACTAATCACGAAATAAATAACTATATTTAATCTACACTTACAAGCATATACAACAAAATAAACAAACTATAAGTTTAGAGTTCATTAAAATAATATAAAAACTTAATTTTACCTAGTCTTAAAAAATTTATAAACATTTTTGAATGTGCCAAGATTTAATCGCAAAGAAAATTTTTTTCAACCCATTGTCGTGGATTAAAAATTTTGCAGATGTTTTCACTATACAACTAGGTTTAAACAAACATTTTGAGTTCGTGTCACTGTCACTAATGTTTGACCACGTGAATGTGTTTACTCCTCTATGAATTATTTAATTCTTAAGGTAAACAAGTTTAATAAACATTCGTAATAAAATAATTATTTAAAGCATGTATATGTATATATATATATATATATATATATATATATATATATATATATATATATATATATATATATATATATATATATATATATATATATATATGTAAATATATATGTATATATGTATATATATATATATATATATATATATATATATATATATATATATATATATATATATATATATATATATATATATATATATATTATATATATATATGAACGTTTTCTAAAATATATTTTTATTTAAATTTTTAATATATTAAAATTTATTACATTATCGGAGTGGACACGGTTAGCACGTATCCTTTTGTCCGCGGAAAATAATTTAGTTTGAATGTTCAAATTAAGTCAAATTTTGACTTCATAGTGCGCCAATAAAAACATTTGTAGAATTTGAACCACTCAATGTAATTTAATAAAACTTAATGCAAATGTAGCCAATAGTCACACCAAACTCTGGACAAAATTTCAGCATGATTGGATGACTGGTGTAGGATTTATTGCAGTTTAAGTTGAAGTTTTGTCAGTTTTTTGCTACTTATGCTTCAAAGCGTTACCAATTACTTTAAAATTCGGTCACTATTTTTAAAATAACGGTTAAATGAGTGTTCTACTATGTAATACGAACAATTTTTGTTATAATTATTTTATCGGTACATGTACAGTTTTCATTTTATAGAAAACCAAAATAGTGATTTACTACTTAAGCGTAATTTGATTTGGCTTATGCCAATGGCGTTGACACGGCCTTCAAAGTGGAGATGGTCAACCCCTCAATTTCTAAAATAAAACCAATAATTTCTAAAATGAT